GGGAAATAACAATAATTATACAAATCGTAAACTCAACGCAGCCAGGAAAAGAAACCCGGACAAGCATGTCGTACTTCTGTTGAAATACATTTTGTAGCAGTGCGTCACGTCAGAATATTGTTTAAAATAAAATAGTCAATCCCAGCCAAATCTAGGTCAGAGGGTCAGATTGCGTGCATATAATTATAGATAGTTAAAACAAAAAGTATTTGAACTTTTGACGGTTGTTTAACATCTATGCACGGTTACTAAACTAGTAACCGTGATCTATGAAAACCATAAAATTGTTAGTAGTCCGAATTTTTGCACAGTCGAAAATAAAGCGGAAATTCAACAAGCGGTCGCAAAAGCGAGCGATTGAAAAGCGGAAGCGGGCGAGAGGTTGGACGAAATGAGTTCTGTACCTCTTTGTTTGATGAAGCGATGCTGATGCCACATTGTCGCCATAATGAGGCCACAATGAAGCGAAACGATAACCGCCTAACTTTTTAATGTCGCGTCATTGAAGCGATGCTGAAGCCATAACAATGCCATAATGATGCGATGCTGAAGCGAAGGTGAAGCTGAAGTGAAGCCAAAGCTTCCGCGAGAACTGTACTGTAGTATATACTGTACCTATATTTTTATGATTCACTTATGCAAATAAAGCATGCACCACATAACGAGTGGCTCATGTGTTGTGTATTAAATAAATAATGTACCAATTTGCACATTACCAAGAAAATACTGTCATGCATGTTCTGAATATTGCACACTTATGTTTCAATGTTCTATGATAAATCTGCGTATAGTGGGGATCAATGAAATACTATAAAAACACAAAGTAAACATACGGGATTATGGGTATTTTTGCTCATTAACATCTCGTAAACTGCAGTACATGTGTAATAATGCTTGTGACACATGAATTATTTATATCAACAGTATGCAGTAGAGGCTGAAAAGGTTGCAAATCTTTTGGAAATACCCCAGCATTTTGATGTTGAAATCTACACTACCAGCAGATTAGAGAAACACTTAGATACTCTATTGAGACATATGAAAGAAATTGTAGAGAAGCACACAGAACCAGAGGTAAAAGTTGATCCTTGTGGTATGACTATCTATGTAATTCGGAGTATGCTATACAACCTAAGGTGTGTTTACTGCTTATGACACTTTGTATCTGCTTGATACCTCAGGTATTAGATGCTTGTGCTAAGACCTATGACTATCTATGTAATGAGGAGTACGCTATACAACCTAAGGTTGATGTAGCGAGAAGTACATTGATTGATGGACTAGTAGAAAAATATAAGAGAAGTTATAAAGCATTTATGGAGGTGAGTAAAATACATGTAGGTATGTTGAGATGACTGGAAGGAAATGATACTATGACAGAACCCCACACCCTGCCCGTGGCTTTTGTTGCGTATGAAAGTTATTTTCACAAGTGATGCGGTGTATCCTGCGGCCGTACTTTCACGAGCGAAGCGAGTGAAAGTACAGCAAAATACACCGCATCTCGAGTGAAAATAACTGTTTCTTTTTAAAGAAAGGCTTTTCAAATTTTCTGTTTCAATTTTCGAATACGAACAAATTTTATACTATAGTACCGTTAAAATCCTATTATAAACCGCATACCTAATAGTAACCGCACCCCCGATTTCGGCTTCAGTGTTAAGTTCTCAACAAAAATTGAAAACATGAAAAGTACCTATTACTAACCGCACCCCCAATTCAACAAGACCGTGACTGACTTTGTTTCAACGAGCTGGTACATTGTTTCTAATCCTATTCATTTGTTTCAACAACGTGCCTAAAAATATTCACACCTCTTTATTGTTCAGTAGTGTTAGGATGTCAAACACGCAGTGAAACTGCTTTTGTTCTTGCGACAACTTTTGTCAATACTCCTAATGAATACGTCCACGTGTCGCAAGTTTTCGACAATGAGCTGTTATCACCGAAAAACTGTTAAATGCTTTTTCAATGCTCAGTTTATCTTTCGAAAACAACTAAT